CAGGGACTACCGGCACAATTTAGATATCCAAACTGGAGCTGTGAGGGGCAGACTCAAAAAGCTGATGCAAGGCCTCATGCTGCAAAATCTAAAGCCACCCTCCCGCCCTAAATCTGTTATTCTTTTGTAAACATTTCTTTGGATGCTAAAGAAATGAAAAATGAGCAATCAGTGCTTCAAATCCTGATGCTGTCTATGTAAAAATATACAATGCTAATTAGTAAGTTGTTTTTAAATTATCTTTATATGCAATTATTGCCTTTTCTCTGTAGAAAAGTATGTTTAGGTCCTTCTCTCCCTTTGAACTAGACTGATTTAACTGAGTATGTGCTAAAAGACCATAAATCAAGAGACAAGATAAAAGCAGAGTATAGGGTTAGAAGGAGATGTCCTTTGGGACATTTGAAGTTGATGTCAAGCCCAGAACTCTTTCACGCCTTTAATAATGATTTAACATATCTTCCCATGACTGGGACAGCATCCACTACATGGAGATAGTTGTCATTTTTTTCCATTTCCTATGATATGCATATAGTTGAATTAAATATATTCTATGCCTCTTTACTACTTGCAATTGGTAAAATTGCTTTGATTGTTTTTTCTGTTTTTGAAACCTTGTGCGGTTGTTTGAGTTGCTTACCAATAGAGAAAAATCAAAATGTACAAAGTGATAACATAATGAAAATGGATCTAATAGCTGTCATTTTATCAACCAACCTAAATTTTATGCTATGAGGCAATCTGTATGCTACTACAACTCTTGCCTCTATTAGATTGTTGTGACTTTGTTCCTGGATATTTTATGCCCATGACAGATTGGAACAGAGGACACATTAACGTGTCCTCAATCAAGATTATTCAATGACATGCACAGCATTAGGTGAACATCTTCCTATTAAAAACTGCCAACATCTAAAGGAAGAAATATTTAACTAATGATCTTCACTTCCTTGTCAAGGGACTGCTCATTCAGCTGCTTTGATTCACACTAGTTTGTTAACAAGTTCTGCATACGCATTTCTGGTTGTTGCAGATAGATGTCACCTTTGCAAAGGCAAATGTTTTTGACATGTGGTGACTTCCCATATATTAGAAAATGCCAAAGGTGTTATCACTTAAAATATTACTTTTATTTACTACTGAATTCATCTTTGACTTATACCAAAGATGGGAAGGAGAGTGCTAAGATGTCATTGATTCATTGATTTATTCAGTCCTTTAATAATGTAATATGGTCTGTGAGACTTTCTTACTGAAAAGAGAATATGGATTGAGAATACCTGGCTTGGATACACCGTCTTTCTCTTTTGTCAAGAATTGGCCCTTTGGTTCACTGACACCAAAATCTGATGTACGTATTCAATCTGAGAGGTATTTTTTCTCTAAGAACAATCCCACTCACTTGAGCAAAGAAACATTTAAACTTTCTCAAAGTGACCAGAATGTACCAATACATCCTTTTTTGTAGCATTTCTTGGTATGTGATTTCATCGTCTACCTTCTGCATTTGACAGCTTATAATCACTGTTAATTTCCTCTGATAAATGATGTCTTTGGCCTATAACAGTAAACATGTGGAGCAATATTTGCTTTCTTACCATACTTTGATTTCTCTCAGCATGCAATGCTTGGCACAGGTCAAATTCTTAGCTGGTGCTCTTAGATAGTGTTTGACGTGTTTGGCTTAATGAAAGCTCTCTCTTGTCTTCCTGTGTTTATTTCTTCCATTTTGAACTATGCCTGCTCTAGTTTTGCATACCCTGACCTTTCGGAGGATGTGAATGAGTAAGATAGGGTGATTTCAGCAAATATGTCACTTCTAGCTGCTTTTAGTGTGAGAAGGACCAGAAATCTCCCTCCATTAGTCGCACTCCACAGATACATTTATGAAATATTATTTTAGCTACAGCAGAAAAAACAGTTGGAAAAAAAGGGGGATAAGATTTTGGCATGATGTTCCTCAGAGAAGAAACAAAGAACAACCTCTTTCTTCATCTCCTCTACCATTCTATTGTGCCTAGCAATTCACATTAATTACATTATTTTCTGTAACTCATAAAGATAACAAAGGACCCAAGAAATACACAATCCTATATATGTAAGACTAAAAAAAAAGAAGTTGACCCTAGCACTTAAGTCCAAAAAACTAAAACAAGTCATAGTCTCCTGATTTTTCAATTTTTTTAATTCCAGGAGAAAAAAAAGCTATGCAGTAGGCAAAAATACATATTGCAGTATATATATTAAAATTGAAACCCGTGGTTGGAGATTTGATTTACCTTCTTCTCAAATCTTAGTTAAGTGAAACATAAGCTATTTTTATCTGCCAATAATTTAGAAAATGTGCTGACAAGATGGGTAGCACAAACCTCTGAAATGGGTCTTTGAAATATCCATTTATCTCATTTGCAGAGTAAAGAAAAATATACAACATTCATTAGCACTATATAGCAATGGCTTATAATGCTTAGGCTATAATCAAAGATTTATTTCAAAATACATGATTAAACTATGATAAAGCAATGGGCAAGAATATACAAACATGTCAGTATAGTTGTAATAGCTGATAATATACATATGATTTCATCATCTCAGAAATCAGTAGAAAATAATTCTTTAATTAAGACATTCTTTAGCTTTAGCCCATAATAACTAGCATACAAATGGCTACCAGAAAAAAAGAAACATTTTTCTAAAGCACAGAAACATGCAATTTCTGGCTCATTTCTTTCATCCCTGATTGTCAATGCTATACTATGCTTTTGCCTCTGATGTCAGGAAATAAATAAGAAGCATAAACAAAAAGAAGAATGAAAATGTTGAGTAATGTAGGAACTGAAAAACGTCAGACATTTCTATGCTGATGTTTAATAAAGTGTGTGCATAAAAACCAGAGAAAAAAAAGAAAAAGCTTTGTTTGCTGTTATGTGAAAACATGAGAAATGCAGTATCATTTGACTGCTACTGGGTTTTAATTTACACCAAAAACGCAAGTGAAACTGGCTTTGCTCAACACAGTTTAAAATATATGACTATCTTTACATGTGCACTGTATTTCTGATGCTCAAAACATTGTGATATCATGCTGCAGCCAGCAACGTCTGAGGATAATGATTAAGATGAGGTTCCAGGTGGATGGTAACATTTCTGCTGTTTTCATACATTTGTGTATGTGTGCGTATATATGTTGACCCTAACCTCTAACGAAATTGCAGTTATACTAGGTTTAGGGTTTCTTTCTCTATGTCTTCCTTCATGTCCATGGTTAAGATGTTTCTGCCCCACAGCTCCCTACAAGTGTCCCATTTTGATAAATTTACTTCCCCTTCAGCAGGCAGAACAGACCAACAAGCCAGTTAGTTTGGGTTACATGACCTACCAGGATTAGCCCCATGATTTTATACTGAGATGGATTAGTGGGTTTCACATGGTCACTGACAGAGCTCAGGTTTTTAGAGGTTTTAATGCTCACTCATCCTGTCCTCCTAAACCTCTCATTCTCACATTTCAAGATAACACTGTGTGGGCTTTCTTGCTTGCAAACTTCTGTTTTAAACAGGTGTGAGATTAACGTGTCAGCTACTGGCTATTTTTTCTGTTACTGGACTTATAGCTCATCCCTTACCTTTCCCTGTCCCTGATATATAGACACCATGGTCTCATGGCAACTCAAGCTTAACAAAACGGAATGTAAACTCTTTCTCCCACACACTCTCATTTCCTCCATCTTTGCCTACTTGTAAAGAAAACACCCCAATCCTTCCTACTCAAATCTTTCTTTTTTTTTTTTTTTTTCACTTTTCCCTTTTTCTTTCCCAGCAAACTCAGACTATTCAGCAGATGCCAGGTCACCCTCACCTCTACTTACTCTCTGCCAGGTTTCTGCCCCAGTCTTCTGTTCCATCACACCAGGATTTCTGCCTAGTTGCCTTTCTGGACTTTCTTGTGGACATACGCAAAATATATTGCTCAGGCTTGTGTTTCTTATTTACTGGTATGAACTCTCTGATTTCACTGCTTTGCTCAGCTGACCTCTCTCTTGGCATGGCCTCTCCAGTTTCCCACTCACTATAATAACTGATTTTGGCTTCTTTTAAGCACCTCAATAACTCTGCACATCCTTATTGTCCATTGCTGAGGTTCATTGTGATCCATTCTTCCTTATGCCACCATACCTAGCCCCATCTCCTGGTATCTTATCTTCACCCACGCTTGCCTCTGCCTTCTATTACACAACTGACAGTGTTAATTAGTGCTTGTTCCAGAAAGTTCACACCCTGTATCCTTTTAAGTCTTTTTAATTCCAATCATACTTACAAGGAATCAACCAATCTTTTTCTTATTGTTTCATAAAGAACTCTCTTCCACTAAACTCTCTCTACTTTTCTACCCTCTGGCAGCCCTTTCTTTTGTCCTTGGAGAGGACCTAACAGGTCCTGGATTAGTGTGTAAATAATACCATTATAAAGAAAACGAAGACCTCTTCTGAGCACTTCTCAGAGATAGTTCTAAGCAAAACTAATTGATTTGGACTGTTCCTCATTTAAAGGTCATTCTTTTGACATGTTCAAGGTTATCCATAAACTGCAAAAGAATGACAGGAAATTCATAGACATGCCCAACGTACTGAGCTCAAGGCCCTTGTTCAAGCTACCTACATCAAGTACCTACAGAGTACTTGCACAGGGGTACAAAGCATAGTCTGAAACAGGGGAAGAAGTTTTCACAGAAGATTTTACAGAGTTTAAAGCAAGTTTCACATCCAAGATTTCATTCAATGCATGTGACACACAGAACCGTCTGCTTCCTAAGGAAAGTGCATTCACGCAGGAATATGTTGAGCCCATAGTGTGTTCTGAATTCCTTTATGTTCAATGAAATCTGCCGCAGGATTCAGACGCTACTAGATTATTTCATGTAAACTCATACGGCCTTTTCCGCAGTTAAAGCATCCCGTTAATCTATTTCAAAGCTTAAGGAGTTATATTAAAATGAGTTACCTTTTCTTGATATTGTCGCCGTGAGGAATCCAGAGACTGAATGAGGGCAGTGGCATGACCAACAAACATGGCATAACAGGTAGCCCCCACGATCATACTCAGCATGGTTATCCAGAGGTCGGACATGCTGACAGGGGCACGGGCTCCATAACCAATGCAGAGCATATGGCTCATGGCTTTGAAGAGTGCGTATGAGTACTGCTTTCCCCAGGAATCGTTCTGCAAGAAAAGAGACAAGTGACTGAGCCAGCAAGCAGATGAAGGGAAAAATACATTTGTACCTCTATTGTGGGATCATAGATTACTGGCTCTGAAAGAGCAGTCTAGTAATGTATCCTCTGTGCATGAGAAGAGATATTCCTTCCAAATTAACTGTTAGTTAAAGTGTCAGAGATTCTGCCAGATAGTACTTAGCACTGTGAGATGAAATAAAATTAACTATTTTTAATACATGAGTGTATTCTTAAACGTGGGTGTTAACCTAATTACAAGGAGACTAAAGGTCAATTTTATTTTACAGTCCATGGCAGACAGATTAGAAAGATCTGAGCACGCAGACTTATCAAGCGCAAGAAGGTAGTATTTTCTTTTTAATATGCATGAATGCATTCCTATGGCCCCATTTTTTTCTTTTCAGGGTTGTCCATTTTAACACACAACCACATTTCATCTTATCAGCTGTTTCACCTCCCCAGGACAGAAAAAAAAAGCGTTATTTGAGGTAATGTCTGCTGATCCTGTTTTTTCTTGTAATATTGTGTTTATACCAGAAGCATCTCAATTCAAAGAAGTGTGTTTATTCTGCAATCATAGCAAAACCATGTTCATAGCCACCATCCGTGTAACACAGCTCAAAAGAAAAGGTGAATGTCTGGGTCCTGCATTTCTGATATGTAGCTACCCCTTCCCATTCTCTCTGGGAGATTAGAAGAACCAGACAGCTAACTCACAAGCTTTTAAAATTGCAAAGGTGTTGTCAGCATCCTCCCTTTAGCTTTATATAGAGACAGTCAAAGGGCTGTTCCCAAAGTAAAGCAGACACTTTAACACATTCCAAAAAGCCCTGGGACTCCCTGTCAGATTTTTCTATTTTCCTTGCCAAAGGAATGAAATGAGAATAGTTTTAAAACTGTTGATCATCCAGTGCCCAGGAAAACAAATTGTGCTTGGAGGCATGCAGCGTACATGAGAAAACACAGTATTTACCACAAAGAACTGAGAATCATTTCAGAAAAGAAGCAGCAAAGAAGGAAGAACTGGGATGACATTAGTAAGATTAGGCAGTTATCCAGTATAGTGTCTAGTATACAGGACCAAAAAAAAAAATCCTGTTAACATAAACAAATCAGCAGTAGCATTTCTATAAAAAATTTACACATGAAATATCAATATTTGTGTCTCTCTTCTATCCATACAAGCGTTGCTCAAATGGTCTTGTTTCTTGAAGAGCTTCGGGCTTGCTCACTTGCCATTTAAATGTCAAAGTTACTAACTACTCTTGTGCTTTTCATCTATTAAAATGCTTTTTGTAGACCCCCTATTAGCTAAAATAACTGGTAACAGGAAATAAGCTAACAATTCCTGGATTGCAGATGACAAAGTTGCTGTTTCTTCACTAATATAATTCACAAATTAATGGTTCCTCTGTATTTACACTTGTTTCACTTTCTAAGTTAAAGCTTTTCAGATTTGCAAGCTGTTTCTATCTTCACAAGTGAAAATTTTGTCTTGAAAACACTGCTAAGGAAGAGGTTTTCAATGTCTGTACTTAAAAAGAAAAACGAGCATTATCTTACACTGCTGGGAATCGGGAGTGAGTTCACTGAGTAATGAGGAAATAAGTTTCCTTTTGCTTTGGGGCTTTAAAAAAATACTTGTAAAATGAAAGAACTGAAGAACCTTCCCTGAAAAATATCCAGTTCAAGATTCAAATACCCAGCTGAAGAGCACAGAAACTCCTTACCATCTGGGTCAGTGCAGCAACAAGTTCCCTGTCTCTCAGGAAAGCAACTTACAGCAATCAAGCTATGGTCTATTTTGGAGGACTTTCCTTCCAGCTGGTATCAATCTCCTTTGGGTGGAGAGAATTAATAAGGGAATTGTTAAGACACCCATACCAAATTCTTTAGCAGTTGCAGCTGTATGTAGACTACATTGGGGAAAACAATAAACTGCTTCCTGGAAAAAAATATGTCCGTTTTTTAAGGCTACAAGTAGCATTATTAAAGCCACAAGAGCCTATTCAAGAGGTTGTAACTCTGTAATCTCAGTTCTTGTGGGGTTCCGTACAGTGGATCTTGTTCCTAAATTGTAGTTTTTACCATAACTATTATAAATATTAAATAAAAATAAATGCTGACCTTGATCTTGTCTATGAATCTTTTCTAAAAAAGAAATTTTCTAAAATTCTTTTAGTAAAATTATATTTTTACATCAAAGCCTTTGAGTTAATCCAAACACCGGTTGATTTTATTTATTCACTGAGATCCTTCCCAAGTCTGTGAATTACAGTTTTAAGTAAAATACCACTGTCTTTAAGAAAGAATAAGAAAATGGAAATGAGGAGAAGCAAGAAGAAAAGTATGTAACAGGGTGAGTGAAAAATCAATAAAATAGTACTTGAGAAGTAGTATCATGAGGGAATAAGTGAGCTGTAATGGCAGAAGAGAAAATAACTAAAAATGTACCACAAAATAAACAAAAATATGTTTAACCAAGTAACGACCTTTATATATAAGCCAAAGTAGGATCCAACACCTCAAACAGTCACGATTGCATCTGAATCCAGACTGGAGGTCAAGGCCATCTCAAACGGCCATTTCATTATACAAGTGGCATTAGACATTACTACGTAGCTTGTGGCAGACCTTGTTACAGGCTAGGCACATTTCAGACTTGTGAATGGGTGGTTCTGTCTGAGGATTTTGTTGCTGAAAATACTTGCCAATGCTTTTTTATTTGTTTCTTTTCCTTAATAATCAAACAGTTCCTACAGAATCAGTTGCAAACATGGGTCTTTTCAGTTTCTGTGGGGATCTTTTTTAAGATGATGAAGAACAAATACCATTGTGGAGGTTACAAATTTCAGTACAATTACTTGTTGTTCAGTGATATATCCCAAATATAGAAACCACTTAAAAAGAATATTTGTTCTAATGTCAAATCCTGTAAAACACGTATGCCACTACCAATGTTACTATATGAAATAATAATAATTATTATTAAATTAGTTTTTCACTTGTGCTGTATA